AAAATTCTACTACCAGTCTTTCATCAACATGACTTGATTGGTATCGTAGGACGGTGTTTCGACAAGTCCTTGGCGCAACCCAACAGTCTTCACAACCATACAAGGCAATCCTCCTTCTTCGGTTTCCAGTGAGACCAATTCGCGAATTTCTATCAAACAACATTCTATTAGAAATGGAAAGTCGAGTTGCACCAACTCCTTCCAATCGCCTGCGTCGCTAGGCCTCCGAGATCAAACTTGCCTAACATTGTCTTCGAAAAGAGTGGATTAACACATACAGACGTCAAGACATGCCCATCCCGCAAACTACACGACGCTTGAAGCAGACAGGTGGACCCAGACAAAATGATGCCCTAGCAAGAGTGCATCCTCTGGACACCCAGTTGCCATGGTGCCGATAAGGGTGCTTTGCCAGTTAAGCCATGACAACATTCAAGACATAAAGATGCATGTCGTCTCTGTGAGGCGAGACTAAACGGTCAAAAAATTGTCATCTTTCAGAGCAGAAAGTTGTAAATGCAATGGCTCACTTGTCGTTTTGACTAAATCCATGTACAGATATCCTAGTTTAAGCCAAGCCCCAGCGTAGCTCAGCCAGTGGGGCGACCGACGAAGTGGTTGCAGGAGGCTCGGCCGAGACGGACATCTCGATGTTGTCAAGGCGGTGTTGGCGTGTTTGGGCGAAACGCTCCTTTACCACGGCACCAATGCACAGTAGCACTTAAAATGGTCAAGTGTTTAGACGAATCCGGCTCCAGATGGAGTCTGCGAGTCCACTAGAAGACCTGAATCTGACGATGAAATTGTTGAAGCTGACGAAGATGGCGAATGCGACGAGCAGACTTACAGGAATACAGCCGTCCGGGATTCAGCGCGCCAGCGCGACTTTTGATAGAGCCACACGAAAATTAGTTTTGCCCATTGCCGCTTGAAAGCACTGGGGCTGGCTTGTAGCCAGCCCAGAGGCGCATTACGCACATGCACACACTCATGCACACACATAAACACACACACACATATATATATATATACATAAACACATCTAAATCACAGCTTAATCGGGCACGCGGCTTTTCGAGGGCAACTTCGGCTGTACTCTTCCCCCAAGCCTGGGTATCTTCTGTTCTCGCTCACTCATACACTCATTAACTCACAAACACATTCACAAGTATGCAAACATACCATAACACGCAATCTCGCTCTCTCGTCCCTCTCAGAGGCGCTCATACTCCACTTGTCTCTACCTCTGAACTCTAATTCCAATTCACTGGCCGACATGACTCCCGGTACAGAGTCTGCAAGCAGTAACAGTTACTTTGATAATCGGACAAAATCTCAAATTGTGCGTGTGTGTGTGTGGGGGGGGGGCATTCTCGCTACCTAAATGTGGACATATTCGTCCAGATCTCAACGGACTGGAGGTAAAACGCCATTGCCAGGGACAGGGAAGAACGGACAACCGTTCGGTGTGCGACGCAGAGACATAGACGGAATTAGGACCGTTCGACAGACTTGCGTCTTTCTCTACGACGCGGCAGACAAGATATGAATTTAGCCTTCTCTAATTCAATGTCTATCTATCCCCATCTGTAAGCATGTCCCCATACAGACAGAGTGACTGAAGAGTTCGTCTCCAACCCAGTGAGAATGCCATACAAGTTGTTCGTTTGCTTGTCTCACTTTCACACGGCAATTCTTAAGACGTCTGTATCTCTGCTTGTATGAAAGTGTATGACTGTTTAGTGTGAATGGTTTTATAAATAAATATATAAATAAATAAATATATATATAAATATATATATATATATATATATATAACCATGACAATCTATGCGAATGAGTCTTTACGAGTATGGTCGCGCACGCGCCAGAGAAACATACAGAAGCAGCGTTAAGATGTGCTTGTGTGTTTCCCGTCAGGGAGTGAGTTTGTCAGTGAGCATGCCTGTGTGTTTGTATGCAAGTGGGAAAAAAGTAGCCCGACTTGAGGGTAGGCTGCAGAGGAACCAGTGCGCGCCAAGCGCAAAATGAAGTGCAGAAAAATTGTGACCAAGCGGACTTTTGGTTAAATTAGCCAATTTTATTCGCACCTGTCGGTTCCACAAGTATGCTTGATAAGGTTGATGTGATTGGTTCGATTGTCAGCTTCCCCTCCTGGGCAGAAGCGCAAACC